TTTAATTTTTTTTATAAGATTGATTTAATTAGCACATGAATTATGTGACGTGCAGTCACGGCTAGAAGTCCAGAAGTATATAAATTGTTCAGGGACCCCTTATGCTAAAAGAAGACAGTATCACTGACCCCTTTTGCTAAAAGAAGACAGTATCACTATCTGTAATTCTGTATTTCTGTATTCTGTACTAATCTTAATTCTTGTTAACAATATCACTTATTAAAAAGTATATATTAATCTAATATAAAGGTGTTGGATTGGGTCATGATGCAATGCAAGCAATTTTTTTGATAATAAAAAGCAAAGCTTGCTGATTCCAATTATACAATCTAATCCTTTCATAAGCTACCTACTTTTAAATTAAGCAATTTGTCTATTACCAACTTCAATGGTTCTGAGTCACTCAAAAGGAATGTCTGTGAGCCACTAGTAGAGGTAATGAGGTATACATTTGTTAAGTTTTCTCCAAAAAGTTATTTCTGATCAATAATTTAGCGTAAAACCTTAAAAAATAAAATTTGTATTGGATGAAGATAATGCAAATGGTTTTGAATTGTCTCGCATCACAATTCATAAACATATCTTGGACATAATATTTGTATGATTACTTCATGGGCACCCTTACTTCATTGGATTGCCAATTCTGTAGAAAGAGTAAAAGACAACCAAGCAATTCAATTTTGCAAACATACATGGAAGATTTTAAATGCAAATGGATTTCAACATACAGGTCACATAGTATACACACGAAAAACAACAGATTTGTTGACAAGCACCTAACAGTCTAACACAACCAGTCTTGATATTAATATTTACAAAAGAGTAAGGAGAAATTCTTTTACTTCCACAATATTAGTATATAGGCTCATCTACGAGTCAAGCAACCAAGCAGTGGGCTCCAAGCCTCCAACCAAGAACACACCAAATTTAAGTAAAAGGAAAGTAAAAAACTTGATTAAAAAGGAGATCAGGTCCCTAGTTTATCTCAGCATTTTCCTCACAAAACTACAATACATCAATCCTTTGTCAGTTGATATGGTCGGTTTCTTAGGATCCCCACCACCATGAAAGGAAAATGGAATACCAATGTATACTGCCAAAATAAAAACTAAACAAGTAAAGCAATGTGGGCATACAGGGCCCTACACTTTTCCCAGGTAGAAATGTCCACTTGAGTATCTACCGCAAACTATTTGTCAATTTCTATTGTACGTTGTTCCTTGCACCGGGGCCATGTTAATCTTCTTTGTATCGTTCCAATTTTATATTCACGTGTGCCATATATATTTCGTGTTAGAGGCAAACCTGTTCATTTTGACTCCAAACATTTGATCCCTAGCCCCCACAGTAGTAAGAAAGATGAAGGGACAACACACTTGCTTGCCGGTCCTCTTGTGGACAAATGTATCCCGAAAGAGATTTTCAAATATGTGTGTGATCTTCCACTCACAAAGTGACTATTCCATGACTGCTGCCATATCTTGTCTTTGAAAGTAAAAGGTGCATGATGATATATTTTACTTTTCCTTGTTCTTTTTACCTTCTGCATTTTCAGAATGTTCAAGAAATCAGCAACAAAGAATGAGTACTTCAGTACTACTGTTACTGTAAATAAAGCATGCTAGTGAAGATAAAATACATAGTAACTTTAAATTGAAAACAAGTGAATACTGTTGCTTTAACTTTATTTTCTTTGAACACACTTTTTTTCTGAGTAACTCAACACAGTCAAATTCAATTTATACTTAGAGTGGTCCTGAAGTGTGATCTAGGTAAGAGTGGCCTGTTTATGACCCCAGCAAATTAATATTGGAAGCATCAGGTTGTTCAACATTCAAACAAACACAATAAAGGCCTAAAGAGAAGGGTGCATAACCTTTTTCCCGGACCACGGATTTGTCCGGGGCAACAATGACTTGGGATTTTACCAACTTATCAAACATTCAAAGCAACCAACTTTGTTCACAAAAAAATAGTTGCTCTGAAGTTGAAATCACCACATCAAGGCGATAAATTCTTTAAAAGAAAATCACAAATCTTAACATTGAAAATTGATTGAAATTAGCATCTGACTAGCTGTTATTCACTGAATTGTAATGTTTAATATAATTAAGTTCAAATAAGAATTAAAGCAGGAATGACTTACGTCTTCTGCAGTCAAGGTTCTAAGTAACTTATGTAGATTTTGGGGTAGCTTGCTTAAAAGCGACAGTGGGAGCTATTCTGCAACTCCTCCTCTGATGCTCCAGCACAAGCTCTCCTGCAAACCAGTCCAGCTTCTCCAAGTTGGTTTGCTCTGCAATTTTCTTGCCTCCAAAGAGTACTGATTCCACATTCTTTTGTTTCATCATTTCATCTGCCATTCCAACCAACATTTTCACATTGGTTGGACTGGGATCATGGTCCACATTTGTTGCACGCCCACGTATATTGTTTGATCCATTTGCCTGGAAATCAATTAATTAATGCTGATAAAAATTAGAATTCAACTTGTCCAGACCTAATTCATTGACCTTATGTATCTTCTTAAGATCAAACTAGTATTGATTATGAGTGTAACTGACTCAGTGAACCGAATTGAGAGGAATATATTGCTAACGATCGATTTTAACTATTTATACCAACTTTGCATCAATAATGCATATATTCACCAATTGATTCGATTGACTTGATATAAGGATGATAGGTGTTCATTGCATTCACCGCCCTCAGTTGAATACAATGGGCACATCATTCCGTGGTAAAATTGTGTCACCATAAAACTATCAATAATTTCAGTTTACCAATGCTAAAATGAAACTTAACACACTGAAATAAAAAAATCCCTAGATAAGTTTAGCAACAAAATAGCTACACTGATGCGGGCATAATTACTTCTAAGCACGCAGCAAAGCAGCACGCTAGAACATAAATAATTACCTGAATGCGGACATAATTACTGCTACGAGACTGCCCAAAAGCCATAGAAACAGCATGATCAACCAAGTCAGCAGCACCATCACCGGCAATACGAGCCATAGGTCTAGCCCAGTCTTTTGCTTTCCATCCTTTGACCTGGTCAAAATTGCAATTAGCACCTTCAAAAAGTTGACCACTGCCAAGAGACAACACCATCACATCTTCAACCCCTCGCACGAACGGAAACTCCTGTTTATTATGCAACACGTGTGTAATTGCCGCCGCAGTGGGGTTGCTCATTGCCAATCCGCCGTCAATGGCCAAACACTTAGTCTGCTTGTCAATTGACTGCATTGCAACCGGTTCAAACACGGCGGGTTCAGCCGCTGTCGCACGACAAACTTCCCATAGCCTAAAATTAAAACTCTCTGATTCAAGCGCGTCAGCTCGAGAAAACAAGAATGGTGCTGAGCTAGACAAGTCATAACAAGGTATCAACACTGGTTTCAATGTGTCCTTCAAAGTGAGACTTCTACCATTTTCAGCAAACTTATCTTTCATAGCTCGTTCTAACCCAGTAGTTGCAGACCTGGTTGAACCAAAGGTTCGACTTTTAGTAAACCGTCGGAAAAACCCACTTGAAGAAGATGATTGATAGAAACATTTCCCCTGTTCAGCCAAAAACTTCCAAGTATCTTCCGCTCGAAATATCGGTCGATTACCATTCTTTGAGCTAAAAAGCATTGAAGTAAAAATCCCACCAACACCAGTTCCTGCTGCTACATCGAAGTAATCAGCAATACAAGCATCTGGATTGCCTGATTTATTCTTCAAAGCTTGTTCAAGATAAGCCAAAGCTTTACCTGAAATAATTCCTCGCATTCCACCTCCATCAATACTTAAAATACAAACTTTTCCTCTTTGATTCTTTATAGCTTGAACACCATGTTGATTATCATTAATTGTTTGTGCTAATGCCCCAGTTTCAGTTTTTGTTTCAAGCTCTGTTGGAATCCATAGCTTTCTATCATCATACCCAAAAAGAAACTTACTTTCAAGAATAGAGAAAATTTCATAACTTAACTTATCTGTATCAATACTTGGTTCTTGCATTATACTTGGATAACAAGCCATTTCCCAACCAAATAAACCTTCACAGCTCTACAAATCCCCAATTCTAAAAAAAAAAAAATA